CATTGGAGAAAGATGAGGCTTTCTGCTCTCATAAAGATTTACAGCCTCAGAAACCCTGTTCAGGGTCGCTATGGGTCGGAACCTACTCGAAGGCACTTAACAACAACATTAGGTAGGATATACAGGTTCTGGCTTTAGTACCTACGGAGCGAGGATCATGCAACACAGAGGATGGATGCCACGTGCTTATGCTGTGCCTACCACTAAACTATCTTCCAGGTGAGGAAGAACATTTGTTGAAAGGACACGGTGGAGTAGGAGGGGAAGAAGAGCTTACATCCTTAGTTCCTCAAAGCATTTACTGGAAGAGCACCGGTGCACGATGGTTATTTCCTTGGAGGGAGGTCCCGACCCTACACAACACACCACCCTCTTCGGCGATTCGCGATTCTAACAAGAGAAAAGTCAGTTTTAAGATTCTTGAGGAGAAACAGAAAAAGGTTGTGGGAGGGAGGGCAATGAGAGCAAAATGCCGCCTAGCAAAGGAACCAACAGAAATAACCATCTCCACTTGCAACCTGAAGGAGCTCTGGAAGCGTAGTGGTTACGAATCACGCTGCTAACCTCAGAGTCAGCAGTTCAAAACTGCCAGCTGTTCCACGGAAGAAAAATGAGGCTTTTGCCCCTGTAATGATTTACAGCTCGGAAACCCTGTACAGTGTCACTATGAGTCGGAACCGGCTCCAAGGCACATAACTACACAACAACAATTTATAACCCAAAGGATCCTCAGTGTTGTTGCTAAGTGCCGTCGAATCGGTTTGACTATAGATCTGTACAGGGTTAACAAGATTTAAAAATCTTTGTTGGATCAGAAAGCCTCATGTATCTGCCGCGGAGTGCTGGTGGGCTGGAACCTCCGACTTTGCGGTTCGCAGTCCAGTGCTTATCCTATAGAGTCACCGCTCTCCACAGTGGAGTGGTGACTTAATAATCAAAGAGCTACTGCTAACCACAAGATCATGCTTCAAACCCTCAAGGCGAATCAAAAGAAAGATGAGGCTCTCTGCTCCTTTAAAGTCTTAGAGCCTGAGACCCTATGGACTAGTTCTACTCTGCACTATAGGGGCGCTGTGAGTCAAACCGACTTCTTGGCAGTGTGTTTTTGTGTGCCTTCAAAGACAACGTTTAGTCGCACCTCAGAGGAGGAGCGGAGCGGATTGAGTTCAGGATCTTCACCAACCAGAAATTTAGGAAATGTTCCAAGTGCACTGATTGGCTAGTTTTCCAGGAACGCTCCCAAGACCGAGAGCTGTGGCTGGCTGAGGAGTTGCCGTGGCGACAGGGCTGCGAAAGCGTTGTGCGAGTTTGTAGGGGTTTGGAGTCGGCTAGGCAACTGCAAAACATTCCCCGGGTAGAGCTGATAAAGTTACTCCCGGACCTGGGGACCTGGTGTCGCTCCGTCTTTGGAGATTCTCGGCGAAGACTTCACTGATCAGACTCGGTGAGTCCTGTGGGACAGAGCCTTGGGGCTGGGCTCCAATTTCTTCTTCAGAGACAAGGTAAGGCTTTCTGAGAACTTAGGAAAGACTTACAGAGCACGTGAAAAAGTTGATACAAAGCCGTATCTGTGAGGAGCATCTACAAATAATTTCGTTGTTGTTGTTAAGTGCCATGGAGTCGGTTCAGACCTATAGCGACCTATATTGGGTTTCAAAGGAGCAGGCGGTGGGCTTGAACCGGCGACCTTATGATTCAAACCAATATTGGCAATCCAGCGCATTAGTTTAATACTATTTAATACTCCACCAATCCTTTCAGAGGATTGTTAATAAAGAATAGAGCTATAAAGAGACTTGCCCAATTTCTTACATTGAGTGGTCAAGTCTAGACCTTCTCTGTTCAGTATATTAGCTAGCCATATGTAGAAGGAAGCCTGGTGAAAATTCACAGAGGAATTCGAATGTGTAATAAAAATAATAAATTTTTAAAAAGTATATTAAGCAGTACAACAAAGCAC